GTCCAGTTTACTGGTACACTGGTAAACAAGAACTAGTAGCCACTTCAACGACAGAAGCGGAATATGTTTGTTTATCCAAAGCTGCAAATAACCTTGTATGGTTTAATGATTTAATTTCAGATGTTTGGAAAAAACCTGCTTTGCCTTTTGTTATGCATGAAGACAATAAAGCAGCCATTGAAATATCTAGATCCGATGCCATTGGACAAAGGTCCAGGCATATAGATATAAAATTTAAACATGTGAGACAATTATCTCAGGATGGATTTATTAAAGCAGTGCATTGTGATACTTCAGAACAATTAGCTGACATATTGACAAAGCCTTTACCTTCTAAACAGCACAAATATTTAACTTCTAAATTGTATGTCTTGTATTGTCCTGAATCTGAATGTAATTGGTGTTGTATAACGAATCGGCATTTAGAGGGGGATTTGTCAGATGTAAATGCCTTATTCTATAATGTGTAAATAGTATATGAATGGGATATCAGGGGTTAACTTATCCTTCTATTCTTAATGTATTCATATTTCACCACTCCCTCATATAGCTCCACCCACTGTATATATAAGGAGCCACCTTCACCCTTTTCCTTGCTTCTATCTGTGAATATTCAGTGAATATAGAATGCCTATTGTAAATAAAAGGAAGTATATTTAAACCTTTAACTCTTACTATTATTATTGAGTCTGATCCTAAAAATATTGCAACAAAGCTCCTTGAATATGGTGCCTGATGTTCACAGAATCTGGAAACTATGAATAGATTTCCAGTACGGCATTAATAAGTTGCTAAAAGCTGCAAGCTACTTGTGTTATTCATATGCGCGGGATTATACTTGCAGATTCTCCCCCCCACCCCTCTGGGAGCAGAAAGGCTGGATGGATTTGTAGAATCGCTGTTTGTGAGGCCTTTCTCCACATAGATCTTGATTTGCCTTCAGAACAATGCAGTCGCCTCTTGAAACTGCCACATCTATGCACTGTCAAAGCTGCATAAGAATGAGATCGCCTGCAACTGCAACATGATGGAGATAGCATTTCGGCTTTAGATGCCACTTCTGAGAAGATGATAGTAAAAAAAGTAAAAAAAAAAAAAAAAGAACCTTTTGACCAAAGGTTGAGCCTTGGTGGCGCAGCAGACTAAAGCACTGTTAAGTAACACCAGCTGCCTGCAATGACTGCAAGTGCAAATCTCACCAGGCTCAAGGTTGACTCAGCCTTCCATCCTTTCGAGGTAGGTAAAATGAGGACCCGGTTTGTGGGGGCAATAAACTGACTTTGTATAAAAAAGAACACCGCTTAGGGGTGGGGGGTGGGGATGAAAGCCCTACTAAGCAGGTATATACAAAAGTATGAAGGCTATTGCTTAACGCATTGTAAGCCACCCTGAGTCTCCGGAGAAGGGTGGCATATAAATCGAACCAATAAATAAATAAATAGAAGTGCACTTTATTCAGACAAAACATTTCAGACAAATGGCTCTCCGATCTCTTCTTTAAAATCCTCCAGTGATGGAGCAGCCACAACTTCTGAAGGCAACTTCTGTTCCACTGGTTCATTGTTCTCACTGTCAGAAAATTTCTCCTTAGTTCTAGGTTGGTTCTCTCTTTAATGATCTTCCACCTGTTCATGTGTGGTGGATCTTCTAGCAGATCTTCACCAGTTATTCAGGAAGGAAGAGGAGGAGAGCAAATGGTTTTTGAAGGATAGAAAACAAACGGGCTGAGGCAGGGGTGGGTTCTAATTTTTTTTACTAGCGGTTCTGTGGGCGTGGCTTATTTTGTGGGTGTGGCTTGGAGGTCATGTGACTAGGTGGGCGAGGCTAGCTGGTCAGAGTAATTTCTGGAAGGTCCTCGCACTTACGACCAGTCCTCGCACTTACGACCCGACTCATTTGTTTGCTTTTAACACTGATCAGCTGTAGGACGGCCCTTTGAAGCCCTGGGGCAAGAGTTTAAACAGTTTTTTTTCCCTCTAGTCATCAGCTGGGACTCAGGAGGCAGCAATAGATTGGGGATGGGCCCAAATAAAAGGTAAGAATAACGTGGGGGGTGGGAGGGTGGGGGGGGAGAACTGGTTCGGTGATGTTATATCGTCACCGCTACCAGCTTGGCCGAACCGGACTGAACCGGGAGGAACCCACCACTGGGCTGAGGGGAAAAGCCATGATATAACACATGTGTCATGCACCAGGACAAAACAAATCTGCCGTCAGGTTCCAACGGATGCCCTAATTCAATCATGAGCTTTGAGCCAAGCTTCAAAAGAAATTCAGTTATTTATTAGGAGCTTCATGTCAAGATAACAGTAACAGAGTTGGAAGGGAGCTTGGGGGTCATCTAGTCCAACCCCCTGCTCACGCAGGAGACCTATACTATGTCAGCACATTCCAGGTGAAGCCAACTCTGACCCCACGTAATTTACGGTCTCAATCATGACCCTGTTTTCCCCCTCCCCTCCGGGTGTGTCACCAATCACATTTGCCAACGGAGCAAGTTCATGGGTTGTAGAGATCACTCCCCTCTGGCCGCTGTGAGTAACCCTGGGAGACAGCCTTAAGAAAGATATGTCTGGAATGCACTCCTGTGTTTGGCTGCTGGCTGCTTCATCTGTTTCTCATCCCCCTTGCCTATGGCAACTTGAGAGCAGGCCAGGGATGCTTTGACGTCTGCATTCTTGGCGAGCAAAGAAATTGCTTTCATTTTTTTTTTCTACCATGAAGGAGAAAAGATCATTGAAATTCTCTTTAGAATAGAATAACAAATTTGGAAGGGACCTTGGAGGTGTTCCAGTCCAACCCACTGCTCGAGCAGGAGATCTTATACCATTTCAGACAAATGGTTGTCTAGTCTCATTTTGAAAGCCTCCAGTGATGGAGCACTCACAACTTCTGAAGGCAAACCGTTCCACTAGTTGATTGCTCTCACTGTTAGGAATTTTCTCCTTAGTTCTAGGTTGCTTCTCTCTTTCTTGCATTTTGTTTAGTAAAAAGATACACAATATTTGAGAAGTTAATGTGAGAAGTTGAGCCAGTGTTCGGTTTCTGCTGCCGCAATAATCTCTTCCAAAGTAGGGAATCTTTCAAGAACTTCAACCTCTGCTTAAAGAGATAAACCCATGGCCTTCCAAAAGCCGTATATGAGAGCCAGTTTCATCTAATGGTTGAGATGTTGGATTTTGACCCAGGTTCAACTCTGCGCCTCAACCACAGGATATGCTGCAAAGCACATTATGAGGAAATTTGTTTCTGAAAAGAATGCTACGACTAATATTCTATTAAACCAAGTTGGCGTAAAATGTACACTATAGTGAAAACCAATACTTCCACAGACAAGAATGTAAATATATAAACAGCGGAAGAATACACATAAAATTAAACTAGATTTTTTAAAGAGAGTTTTTAAAGACTTCATTAAATGGATGAATGGCCAGTTAAATCAGTCTTGCAGTATATCATCTTAATGGTTCTCACACTATCCCAGAATGGAACATTATGTGGCAATATCATGGTCCATATATATTCCAATTCACATATCTCTGGATACGGCACAACATTTTCTTTTATTTTGCTTATATACTGCATGTAAACAGTTTTTGCAGAGTTTTCCCTAATATGTATGTTTAAATGGAACACTGCTTGGCCAAATTCAAAACACTGTGATTATTAAAGGATCATGGACTTCTAATTCAGAGAAGTGCAAAGAAGAGAAACTAAAGCCTGGAGACTAAAACATAGGAAGAACGGTTGCCGGACTTGGGTTTGGCTAGTCTAGAGAAAAGAAGGACTAGAGCTGACATGATAGCAATAGCCCTTAGACTTATATACAACTTCACAGTGCTTTACAGCCCTCTCTAAGCAGTTTCCAGAGTCAGCCTATTGCCCCCAACAATCTGGGTCCTCATTTTACCCACCTCAGAAGGATGGAAGGCTGAGTCAGCCTTGAGCCTAGTGAGATTCGATCTGCCAAACTGCTGGCAGCCAGGGATCAGCAGAAGTAGCCTGCAGTACTGCACTCTAACCACTGTGCCACCGTGGCTCTTATGATAGCAGTATTCTAGCATTTGAGAAGTTGCCACAAGGAAGAGGGGGTCGATTTATTTTCCTAATCAGCAGAGGGAAGGACAAGAAACAATGGATGGAAACTAATCAAGGAGAGAAACAACCTGGAATTCCCTGGGTATGGCCCAGTAGTGGATTCTAACTGGCTTTACTATCGTTTCTCTTCGTGTATGCGCTTCGCACGCAATCGCCACATGAATGCTCGCTTTGCTCGCATGTGCGCCAAACTTGCGCTCAGCGCAAGCGCGTTAGGAATATGCCCAGCTGAGGTGCGGCAATTCACTCTGCCGCACCTATCAGCTGGGCTAAAAATAAAGAAATAAAAAGTAGGAATAACGCGGAGGCGGGTGGGAGAGCCCATCTCCCAGACAAAGAGAACCTGTTCGGTGACATCATATCATCACCGCTACCAGCTCATCCCAACTGGGAGGAACCAGTGGTGGGTTCCTCCCAGTTCGGTCCAGTTCGGCCGAGCCGGTAGCGGTGACGATATGACTTCACCGAACCGGTTGTCCCCCCCCCCCCCCCCCCCCCCCCCCCCCCCACCCACGTTATTCTTACCTTTTATTTGGTCCCACCCCCAATCTATTGCTGCCTCCTGAGTCCCAGCTGATGACTAGAGGGAAAAAAACTGTTTAAACTCTTGCCGCGGGGCTTCAAAGGGCCGTCCTACAGCTGATCAGTGTTAAAAGCAAACAAATGAGTCCGGTCGTAAGTGTGAGGACTGGTCGTAACTGCGAGGACCTTCCAGAAATGACTCTGACCAGCTAGCCACGCCCACCTAGTCACATGACCTCCAAGCCACACCCACAAAATAAGCCACGCCCACAGAACCGGTAGTAAAAAAATTTAGAACCCACCCCTGGGAGGAAACCACCACTGGTATGGCCCCAGAAGGTGATACCAGTACCATAAAAGCAGAGGTGAGTTGTACTTACCTTTACTACCAGTTTGCAACAAGGCTGTGTAGAAGCTCCCTGATGATGTTGCGGTTGGTGGGCGGAGCCTCCTGCCAGTTTACTACAGGTCCGAACCGGGGGCAATCCACCACTGCATAAAAGAATCCACTAGAGTTAGGCAGCCAATGAATTTAAATAATAATTGCAAACAAACAAACAAAAGCTATTAACAAACAACAGCAAATGTTGCCTTAGGGATAAAATCACTAAGATAAGATCAAATAAGAGCCATAGTGGCAGTGGTTAGAATGCGGTACTGCAGGCTATTTCTGCTGATTGCCACCTGTCAGCAGTTTGGCAGTTCGATTCTGACTGGCTCAAGGTTGACTCAGCCTTCCACCCTTCCAAGGTCAGTAAAATGAGGACTCAGATTGTTGGGGGCCATATGCTGATTCTGTAAACCACTTAAAGAAGGCTGTAAAACACTGTGAAGTGATAAATAAGTCTAAGTCTAATTGCTATCAAACAGAATGGAGCTGGAAGGGACCTTGGAGGTCTATTAGTCCAACCCTCTGCTCAAGCAGAAGATCATATACCATTTCAGACAAGTGACTGTCCAGTCTCTTCTTAAAAACCTCCAGTGATGAAGCACCTACAACTTTTGAAGGCAAGCTGTTCCACAGGTTAACTGTCCTCACTGTTAGGGAGTTTCTCCTTAATTCCAGGTTGCTTCTCTTCTTGATTAGTTTCCATCCATTGTTTCTTGTCCTGCCCTCTGGTGCTTTGGAAAATAAGTTGATCCCCTCCTCTTTGTGGCAACCTCTCACATACTGGAATATCACTATCATGTCCCCGCTAATCCAGGGGTGAAATCCAGTAGGTTCTGACAAGTTCTGGAGAACCGCTAGCGGAAATTTTGAGTAGTTCGGGGAATCAGCAAATTCCACCTCTGGCCAGCCCCAGAGTGGGGTGGCAATATCCTTCTCCCAGGAATTGGGTGGGAATGGGGTTTTTGCAATATCCTTCCCCCAGGAATGGGGTGGGAATGGGGATTTTGCAATATCCTTCCCCCAGGAGTGGGGTGAGAATGGAGATTTTGCAATATCCTTCTCTCAGGAGTGGGGTGGGAATGGGGATCTTGCAATATCCTTCCCCCAGGAGTGGGGTGGGAATGGGGATTTTGCAATATCCTTCTCCCAGGAGTGGGGTGGGAATGGGGATTTTACAATATCCTTCTCCCAGGACTGGGGTGGGAATGAAGATTTTGCAGTATCCTTCCCATGCCACACCCACCAAGCCACACCCATCAAGCCACATCCACCAAGCCACACCATGTCCACCAAGCCACGCCCAGAGATCCAGTAGTAAAAAATTTTGAATTTCACCTCTGCCCTAATCCTTCTTTTTTTCCAGACTGATCAAACCCAAATCCTGCAACCATGTACACAATCATATAAGTGTAATCATGTACTGTATGTGGATAAAACAATTGACCATTTGATCAGTGGCTTTCACAAAATTTCACCGACGACAAGCAGCGTCAAGACCAAGTTGACAGAATTATTCATTGGAAGCTTGGCCAGAGGTTTGGATTTGAATCTAACAGGTAGTCCTTGGCCTCCAACCACCAGAATTTCCATTGCTAAGCAAGATGGTTGCTAAGAGAGTCATGCTCAATTTTACAAACATTTTAGTCAGGTTTGTAAAGCGAATCACTACAGTTAAGTGAATCATGTGGTCATGGATGAACATATGGGAACATAAGTAAGGAATTTGGTTGAATATTGGGAGGCGTTTTTAACAAGCCTGGGACATTCTACCTCATGATACTGTATGTTGTCTTCTCCTTCACTGCAAGTCTTCATACAGGCTAGATCAGGGGTCAGCAACCTGCGGCTCCAGAGCCCCATGCGGCTCTTTGGGCCCTCTGCTGTGGCTCCGTGTCAGGTGATCCCACCACTGGCTGACCCCGCCCCTCACCTTCCCCTCCCAGTCACTCCTCACCTGGCGTGAGAAGGTAAGGGCAACGGCGGGAGATGGAGAAACGGCCAGGGCAGAGACAGAGAGATACAGAGAGAGGGGGAGAGAGAGACAGAGGGAGAGGGAGAGGGGGGAGAGAGGAAGGGAGGGAGGGGAGAGAGAGAGATGTCAAAAGGATTTTGTGTTTTTTAACAACTGGTTCTCTGCCCTAATGACTGGCTGGGTAGGCGTGGCTGGGGGGGTGTCATGTGACTGGTGGAAGTGAGTGACATCGAATTGGTCATGCCCATCCAGGTTTTGTGGCTCCTGGTGTTTTCTTTTCTGTGGAAAAATGGGTCCAAATGGCTCTTTGAGTATTTAAGGTTGCAGACCCCTGGGCTAGAACATAGAATCAGATCATAGAATCTGATCATAGAGTCATAGGGCTGGAAAGCACCATGGAGGCAGTGGTGAAATCCAAATTTTTTTACTAACGGTTCTGTGGGTGTGGCTTGGTGGATGTGGGAGGGGAAGAATACTGCAAAATCTCCACTCCCACCCCACTCTGGGGCCAGCCAGAGGTGGTATTTTCCAGTTCTCCGAACTGCTCAAAATTTCCGCTACCAGTTCTCCAGAACCTGTCAGAACCTGCTGGATTTCACCCCTGCATGGAGTCATCTTGTCCAATCCCCTTCCCAATGTAGGAATTCACATACCATCCTGAACAATTGGCTGTCCAATCTTTTCTTCCATGCCTCCAGTGATGAAACATGCATCTGACCCATGTGCCAAAAATTAAAAGGGCCAGAGCTTCAGTCACCCAATTGCACCATAATTAACCTCCCTTGTGAGTCCCTCCGGTTAACCACATTAAATATATTATGCAATTACAGTTACCGAACCTCTTTTTTTTTGACTTTATGGAGTAAACCATGCCTGATCTTCATGACTGTGTCATAGCTAACCCGCTACACACTCCGCTCGCAACCAGATAACAAAAACAGGGAAAGGCGTGGGCAGGTTTGGAACATAAGAAAGGGGTTGGGAGGGAATTGTGGAATGCAAGGGAGCTGACGGTTGCCTGGCAACATCCTGGTCCCCAAGGTCAAATGATGGGGAAGTTCTAAGGCGCTTAGACCGTTTCCCAAAACAAATTGACTGTCGTTGATGGGTGGACAATGAACAGTGGGTGGCCCAGGGGAGAAAAGGGGATTTTTACCTATGCTGCTTCGTGCATGAAAACTTCAGAACCGGCTTTGCTTCTTCTCTGCCTATGTGGAATGATCAGTAAAGTTATATAGTAAAATAATGTCCCAGGTATTTCCTTTGCTGCATACGTCAACGGGACGGTTGACGTACCGATTTTTTTTTTAAAAAAAGCAGCATGTCCCACCGAAAGACAGGGTGGGGAAAAGGTGAGATTGCAGATAATTCCCCTAATCATTTGCTTTGCATTGCTATAACCACCCCCCCCCCAAAAAAAATAAAGTATAAAAGACAAGAAGGATTATACGCCATCTTTTTGATAAGCTGTCCTTAAGGTATCATTATATGCGCATGAAAGCTGAGCATTAGAAAACCTGCAGGGAAAGATCCCAACCCATCAAATCCCTCCCAAGCTAAGCCGTATTCCCTCGCCAAAACTAATATGCAGCTCAGGACAAAAATAAAAGCTTTTTTTCCTCGTCTTATGCCTCGTTCATCATTATTAGGATGCTTGCCTGCTCATCTTAATTAAAACTTGTCTCTGAACATGTAATCAATGATTTGGCCATGCATTAGAGCTCAACCTACAAGGTTTAATTTTGGAACCTACCACTCTTATCTCCAGGATTTTCTTCCCTTGCCAAGCATGCCTTAAGGCAGTCTTTCTCAAACTTGGCAACTTCAAGACGTGCGGACTTCAATTCCCAGAACTGCCTAGCCGGCATGCCGCCTAGGGAATTCTGGGAGTTGAAGTCTGTAGATCTAAAGCTGCCAAGTTTGAGAAACACTGCTTTAAAGGATCAATCATCCAAAACAGCCATTTCCCACAGCAACCTCTCCAAGGGTTTCTGTGTTCCAGCCTTCTCTTCTGTCTTGCAAACTTTTTAATCGTAGTTTTTTGTAAAGAAAATTATTATTAGTAGGGGAAGCAGGGAAGGATAAAACAACGCAGCAAGATTCTGGACCTCTTGCTGTTTCTTCCTGGAATCTGAGGCCAGCTCATCTCCAGATCACAGCAGGTTTCATTCCTCTTCTCTCTCTCTCTCTCTCTCTCTCTCTCTCCCCTCCCCCTCTCTCTCTCTCTCCCCCCTCCCTCCCTCCCTCTCTCTCCCCCCCCCCACACACATCAGTCTCTCCTTGCAAGCTTTCAATCACCTTCAGCTTTTCAATCTATGCTCATCAGGCTGTTGATGTGTTTGTCCAGCATCTACAACCTATCAGGTCAATGATTTTTTTTTTAAAAAATGGGTCACACTTTGAAAGAGATTTCTTTATCAGAGCTGGAAAGAACCTTGGAGGTCTTCTAGTCCAACCCCCTGCTCAGGCAGGAAACTCTATAACATTTTATACAAATGGTTGTCCAATCCCTCCTTAAAAACCTCCAGTGTTGGAGCACCCACCATTTCTGGAGGCATGTCATTCCGCTCATTCATTGTTCTTTCCTGCAAGAGGAAAAAAAAATGGTTTAAGAATGATAGAATCTCAGTTTGGTTGATGTGATTATCTGTGTTTCTTCCCTTTGCAGGCAAATGAAGAAAATAATTTCCTTCCTTTTTCAGAGAAGAGCTGAAAATCAGAGAATATCTCTTGATAGGAGATAGGAAGTAGGAACTTGTACCAAAAATGAAGAATTCTTGGAGGGTTTCAAGACAGATCAATAGCAATAGCACTTAGACTTATATACCGCTTCACAGTGCTTTACAGCCCTCTCTAAGCGGTTTACAGAGTCAACATATTGCCCCCAACAATCTGGGTCCTCATTTTACCTACATTGGAAGGATGGAAGGCTGAATCAACCTTGAACCTGTGAGATTTGAACTGCCGAACTGCAGCTAGCAGTCAGCTGAAGTAGCCTGCAGTGCTGCACTCTAACCACTGCACCACCTCAGCTCTATTGTGCCACCTCGGTTCTATGTAGATCAATATGTATTGATCTATTAACTCTCTATATGGGACTCTGATAGCAGCTGTAGATATGCTGGGAAGGGGGGGGGATATCCTGGATTGGTTAATAAAAATGCTACTAATTTAACAATTTCAATGATTCACTTAACAACTGTGGCAAGAAAGGTTGTAAAATGGGACAAAACTCACTTTACGTCTGTTTTAGCAACTGAAATTTTGGGTACCATTGTGGTTGTAAGTCTAGGACTACCTGTAAATGAGCTTGCTTTTTACTTATCATAGAATCAATCAATCAGAATAGAGCTGGAAGGGCCCTTGGAGGTCTTTTACTCCAGCACCAGTGGTGGGTTCCTCCCGGTTCGGCCTGGTTCGGCCGAGCCGGTAGCAGTGACGATATAATGTCACCGAACCGGTTCTCTTTGTTCGGGAGCTGGGCCCGCCCGCCCCCCCCCCCCCCCCGGCGTTATTCTTACCTTTTATTTGGCCCCACCCCCAATTTTTCGCTGCCTCCCGAGTCCCAGCTGAACGGCTGGAAGGAAAAAAACTGTTTAAACTCTTGCCTCAGGGCTTCAAAGGGCCGCCCTACAGCTGATCAGTGTTAAAAGGCAGTGTGGTGGTAGACCAGTGCCTCCAAAAACAAATGAGTAGACTGGTGCCTCCAAAAACAAATGAGTAGACCGGGACGCTCGAAAAACAAATGGGTAGACCAGGATGCTCCAAGAACAAATGGGTAGACCAGGACGCTCAGAAAACAAATTGGTAGACCGGGATGCTCCAAAAATATATGGGTAGACCGGTACAGCTCTACAAGCAGTTAAAAGCCCGGTAGACCAGTACCTCTGCTAAATCCTAAAGAATTGTCACATGACCATCAAGCCACGCCCACAAAATAAGCCACGCTCACAGAACTGGTAGTAAAAAATGTTAGAACCCACCCCTGTCCAGCACCCTGCTCAAGCAGGAGACTTATACCATTTCAGACAGGTGGCTGTCCAGTCTCTTCTTAAAAACCTCCAGTGATGAAGCACCTACAATTTCTAAAGGCAAGCTGTTTTACTGGTTAATTGTCCTCACTTTTAGGAAGTTTCTCCTTAATTCCAGGTTGCTTCTCTCTTTCATTAGTTTCAATCCATTATTTTTTGTCCTGCCCTCTGGTGCTTTGGAAAATAAGTTGACCCTCCTCTTCTTTGTGGCAGCCCCTCATGTCATCTCTAGTCCTTATTTTCTCTAGACTGGCCATATCCAATTCTTCATATGTTTTGGTCTCCAGGCCCTTAATCATCTTAGTTGCTCTTCTTTGCACTTTTTCCCCCAAAGTCCCAACATCTTTTTTGTAATGTAGGGACCCAAACTGGATGCACTATTCCAGGTGTGGTCTTACTAAGGATTTATAAAGTGGTACTAATACTTCATGTGATTTTGATTCCATGCCTCTGTTTATACAGCCAAGGATTGCATTAGCTTTTTTGGCTGCTGCCACACACTGCTAGCTCATGTTTAAGTGGTCATTCACTAGGACTCCAAGGTCTCTCTCAAAGTCAATGTTTTTGACCTAGGTTTTACCTAATCTGTACTTCTACCTTTGGTTTTTCCTACCTAGCTGTAAAACCTTGCTTTTCTCCACATTAAATTTCATGTTGTTGGATAGGGCCCATTGTCAACATCCATTTGGATCCTGAGTTTGTCTTCTGGGGTGTTGGCTATTCCCATCAGATGTGTCATCTGCAAATTTGATGAGTTCCCCTTCTATTCCCTTCCCTTCCCTTTTATTATTTTGTCAAGGTGATAATTTAAGAGCTGACCAACTGATGCAATGCTGGGAATGGGTCAGCAGGATCTTTGACTGTTATCCCTGTAAGAGCCTGAGTAATAAAAGGAGGCCCTGCTAGAGTGTTCATTCATTCGTTGAGTTTCTTCCCTGCTGTAATTGCTGTTTGTTTAAATACTGCTTGTATCACGTGTATGTATAGTATTTCTATATTCCTATTGTAGATAAAAACCATTATTTGATCCAAACCACTGTTGGCTGTACTTGTTCCTGGGTTGATACACATGATAGACCTGTGCACACTCTGACAGCAATAGCAATAGCACTTAGACTTATATACCGCTTTACAGTGCTTTACAGTCTTCTCTAAGTGGCTTACAGAGTCAACATATTGCCCCCAACAATCTGGGTCCTCATTTTACCCACCTTGGAAGGATGGAAGGCTGAGTCAACCTTGAGCCTGGTGAGATTCGATCTGCCAAATTGCAGGCAGCCGGCAGTCAGCAGAAGTAGCCTGCAGTACTGCACTCTAACCACTGTGCCACCAAGGCTCAAGACATTGTATAAATATAGTTATAATAACAATAATTCTATTGTTATTTGTTAATCCAGAAGCACACACACACAAGCACACCCCTACACGAACCATCGGCAATTCAGGCAAGCTATATTGTAATACCGGTGAGCGGAGTTTATGTGTATGTGTGTGAATGCCTGGGTGAATGTAAAAATGCACGTCCCATTCTTGTTTGATGTGAAGGGGGAGAGGGGGCGGTTAGAGCATCCATGCCTACACTTAGAGAACATTAACTGCGACATCTGGATGACTAGTACAGCTTGCAGCAATTTTCATACAATTGCTTTGAAAATCCCAGGAGCAAATAGCATCACATTTAATTTATACTGTAATAACATCTCCTATTGATTTTAATAAAATTGAAGAGGATTGTTTTGAATGAAATCCCTGAGGCATTTATTCCATTTTAAAAGCTGCAACAACCCAAATCCTTTCTTTGCTTTAGCGTACTCTTTGGGCGTGTTACGATTCCTATTCTTCTAATGAGCACCAGCATCTATTGTTCTTTTTGAGAGTGAGTGAGTGAGAAAGAGAGAGGGAAAGAGAGAGGGAAAGAGAGAGAGACACAGAGAGAGAAAGAGGCAGAGAGAGAGAAACACAGAGAGACAGAGAGACAGAGAGACAGAGAGAGAGAGAGACAGAGAGAGAGAGCGAGACAGAGACACAGAGAGAGAGACAGAGAGAGAGATGAGAAAAAGTGCTTTAAAGAAAAAATAACCTGAACTTCAGAAAGTGCTTTTAAAGGAAGAAAATAAACAATATAACTAAATGCGGCAATGTTATTCTTCACAACTTATTTTCAGCAGGGTTTCCCTGGAAAGTCACACGAAACCTCTGGGCGCAAGTAGAAAGAAGGTGAATGAATGATTGCAGAGTGCGGTGGTGAAAATAGTGGAATAACGCTGAAGAGAACAGAGTTCAAATCTTCCTTTGACTGCAGAACTGAAGAGATCATGGATATCAGTTACAGGAAGGCAGATTCCAAGGGAATGTTAGAAAAATTGTTCGGGGCAGTTCAACCAGGAAACCAATTATCCAAAGAAGGTGTTGACACTCATTTCCTGAATAGGTGGGAGTAGGGAGTAGAAAGCTCTCTATCAAGATTGCTTGGTTTTGGATTCCTTCGTTGAGCAGGACTTTGGGCTCAACAGCCCTTCCCCACTCTAGCATTCTGGGCGTGCAAGTGAAAAGAAAATGAAATTTGTCAACTGTACAAGATAGACAGAGCCATGGTGGCGCCGTGGTTAGAATGCAGTATTGCAGGCTGACTCTGCTCACTGCCATGAGTTTGATCCTGATCGGTTCAAGGTTAGCTCAGCCTTCCATCCTTCCAAGGTTGGTAAAATGAACATTATGCTGACATAGTAAACCACTTACAGGGGGCTGTAAAGCATTATAGACCAGTATATAAGTCTAAGTGCTATTGCTATAGTTAAACTGACTCCCCTGGATTACTAGAACTATACTCTTTTGAGATTAGCTGTAGTAACTCGGTTGAGAGAATCAGAGAAGAGCCAATCTAAGTCTAATGCTTCTTCACCTCCATCACCCCAGGCTTAATGGATGTGTGTTCTGCACCAGTTGTTGTCCTGACAGCTTCTGGATGCTTTCTCCAAGGTCATTTTCATGACTCTCTACATGATTGCAGAATGTGTTGGTGAAAGCAGTAGGTTAAAGAAAACTGGGTTCAAATCTTCATTTACAGTAGTTTGATGTCTATAGAGATTCTCAATCATCCAGGTCATGGTTGTTCCAAAGATGCTTTTCTAGAAGGCAATTGGACTTTCTTGGGTTTTTTCTTCTTCTTGAAAACATCTCACTTCTCAGCCAAGAGAACCGAAGAAGCTTCTTGGAGTAAAAAGCGAAATGTTTTCAAAGGGGAAAAAAAAAAACCCAAGAAAATCCAGTTGCCTTTTGGAAAAAAAGCATCTTTGGAATTTCCTTTGGTTTCAGTGCTATAGAGAAGTGTTTCCTAAGCTTGCGAACTTTAAGAGGACTGGACTTCAACTTCAACTGGCTGCCTGGAGAATTCTGGGAGTTGAAGTCCAGACCCATTAAAGTGCCAAAGGTTGAGAAACACTGCTATAGAGAGAATGGATGTAAGCAGGGGTGGGATTCAGCCAGTTCAGACCGGTTCGGGTGAACCGGGTGTTAATTTTACATCCGGTTCAGCGAACCAGTAGTTCCGATGA